TGGCGCCACGTAGCGAAAAGAAGAAACGACTGGCGCGCTGTTGTTAACTCGGCTATAATCGCGTAAGCGGTGACTACGCCAATCAAGAAGAAGAAGCTAGACAATAGTTTTCAGGATATAAGCACACAGCGTACTTGAAAATCATTTTAGATTTATGCTTCAGTCCAGCTTAACTGCTGAAATTTTACATAAAGCAGTAAGTGCAATATTACGCTATGGTGCAAGTCTCCAATGGAAAATTCGTGTATTGAATGTTTAACAAATGCACACACGAAATTGCCCTGCACTGCTTGCCGAAAATTTGCACGTTTGCCTTTTCGGCATTTGCCCGAGATTGCTTGGGAGTGTGCACTTGCGGTTCGAAGTAATCCGTGCTGCAGGGCGTATACGTAATCATATTTCCAAATGCTCTTTCTCTTTGCATTTACCTGGATTATTGTGAGAGTATCAGTTTTCCATTTGGATTAGTGTTGATTTCCTTATATTCCTGAAATGTTGTTGCATTCGAAGAAAGTGTTGAGCTTAATCATAGCCTTAAAACTCGGCGAAATTAAAAAGGTGACTGATACGGTTTCATTGGCATCATTGATGGCAAATTGTAAAATGATCAGAATTAGAATTAAGTTTTATAGCTGTGGTATTAAGTGTTGGGAAAACCATTCAATAAAAGTTATGAGTTATATATTATAAATGCCGTAATAGAATAATTTAAAGGCTATGTTTTTCTTAAAAAAAAAATTGAAAAAGTTGAAACGAGTTTGCTTCGACTCAAATAAAAAAAATCCCAACCGTTTTTGGTGCTGTTGTAAGATTTCTAGTCTTTATGTGATCGTCTACCAACTTACAAATATACAACTGATAAGATTAAAGCAAACAATTGAAAATAAACGACCAGAACTGATCAATAGAAAGGGCTTCGTCTTGCATCAGGACAACGCTGGAGCACACACATCTTTGATGGCTCGGCAAAAAATGCGAGAGCTAGGCTGGGAAGTTTTGATGCATATAGCTCTGACCTTGTACCATTGGACTACCATTTGTTTAGGTCAATGAAGAGCTCCCTTAATGGAGTAAAGTTGTCTTCAAGAGAAGCCTGTGAAAATTACTTCTCGCAGTTTTTCGCCGAGAAACCAGAAAAGTTTTACACTGATGAAATAATATCTGTAGTGGGAAAATGACAAAGAGTGGTCGACTAAAACCGTACATATTTGGTTCATTAAAGTTAACAGAAATTAGTTGAAGTTTGATTAGAAATTCGAAAAGATTTTTTCGACTACCCTATATTTCAAAGTTGTACGCAGTTTTCTTTGATGAAATTTTTTAGCTTACTTGTGATTTCTTCGTAATTACGAAAGTGCTCGTTGTAAGTACTGAGAAAGGTGCTAAGTCTTTCTTTGGTAAATTTCAGTAGAACTCCATCTCAGGATTTTCAAATGAAGTCACTGTAACCGTATAAGGCTTGTTTCAAATTACTTATGTGGCTAAAAGTGCACGCATATTCCGGATAGGTAAAGTTTGAAGTGCATCGCTAACTTGAATTCACATTTGAATTTGCAAAAATACATCCAACACAAACACATTTCGAACATACGTATCGGTGTCCTGAATATAGATTTAGTTAACACACACACACACACATATATATCTATATCCACTAATGTTTTCTAGTTAGATTGTTTGTATAGTTTGTATAGTTGCCACTTCTTTCTCGCTCAACAGATTTCGAATCGATGGATGGACGCAACACGGAGGTGGGCAGCAACACAAATGGCACCGGTGGCGGCGTGGGCGGCCTCAGTCCGACGATTTCATTTTGGTTTCGTTTGAACCGTGTTATCCTACGCCTTTGTACAACACATCAATTTAAAAATCTACAGGTACGTATTTACACACACACCCACACACAAGCACACAAGTGCACGTGTGTTTGCATGTAGGGGACGCGTTTGCTCGTCCAACCAATCAACTGTTTACCATGCACTACCGAGACTACTTAGCATGGAAAATATGTAAATTCAAATCGCACGGAGCGAAATGGAAGCGGCGCGTGACCGGAGGGGGGAATGGTTGAAGTGCTGCCGGTAATGTGAATGCAAATTGGCTGTTGGCAATTGAGCGTTAATGAATTGTTGTTGTATGAAGGGGACTCAACAAAATGGAAAGTTTAATTTTTGGGGTCACTTAAATGCATTTTGAAGTTTAAAAAAGGATTTTTACTAAAAACTATTTAGAAAAGGTTATTTGAAATTTATGTTCAATATTTCTGAATTAAATATAAAATCTGCCACTCAACAGAAATTATAATTCAAAAAGTTCCATGCAGCTAGCTGCTCGCATATGCTCAACTTTGCCGACAACTGTGCCCACATATACGCCAGCTCAAATGCAAATATATATGTATATATACTGCACATACATATATTAACGTCGGTAACATTCTACAAAACCAATTTCCGCAGTGAGCTTATGCTTTCGCCAATGTAATTACATTTCGTTAATGTGTTCACAGCACGTGCTCCGTGAAAGGATAATAGGCCTGTACCGCAACATGTTTACCTTTGCGACCGCAAATGTGTGTGTATTTTCCAGTGGGACTTTCGGGCACTATTTAACGCATATAAACATATATTAACGGTGTTAGTGAAATTAGCACGAATTCATAGCAGTAAACCAGGGTCAACTGAAGTGGGCATTAACGAGCGCTCGATTATATTATTGAAGCCGAAGCTACGTCTGCTACTTGATTATTTGTGGGTAGAGATGTGGGCTGAATATAAAGCAAATCTGTTCATAATTGCACAAAATGTTTTCCAAGTGTACATATGTCGAAATTAGTGGAATTTAGCAGTAAAATCATTCAGGAACCTAATTTTTTTTGGAGCGTACTTGAATGTGTTTAGATACTTTATGCTTTGTGCACATATTTGACACATGAAAGCCTTAGCGATGTTGTTTATGCATAAAAATCTGTTAGTCTTCAGTTTGTTTGAAAGTTTAGAATCTTCTTGCTGCTTTTAGATAAAAAGAAAGTATTGCATAAAGTTCTCAAATACTTATAAAATGTATTTCTAAAACATACCAAGACGATGAAATGTATACTTAGCTCATTCTCTCAGGGTTCCAATGATCTTTTCTCGTTATTTCTAGTTTGAGATTTGAAAAGCTGAAACATGTTTAGATATCGAAAATTAGATTTTGGCAGTGATACAGTAATTGGTAGAAGTCCAATAAGTGTAAAAAAATCTTAGTAGGATGAAACCTATTGGAAAAGGAAAACAAGAAAAAATGTGACTTCGTCTGCATCCAAGCTAATATACCCTTCACAGGTGCATTTCTTTTAGTAACTATGTATTCGGTTTGTATGGAAGCTATATGCTATAGTAATCCGATCTGAACAATTTTTTTGGAGATTATATTGTTGCCTTAAGCAGTAATCCATGCCAAATTTCGTGAAGATATGTCGTCCAATGAGGAAGTTTCTATACAAGAACTTGATTCCGAGCGTTCAGTTTGTCCGGCATCTGTTATAGTGGTCCGATATCGACAGTTCCGACAAATGAGTAGCAGAGAAAAGGACATTTGCAAAATTTCAAAACGATATCTTAAAAACAGACAGCTGCACTTGGCTAAATCGACTTAGCTTAACATACTGATTATTATATATAATGTATACTTTATAGGATCTCCGACACTTTCTTCTGGGTGTTACGAACTGCGTGACAAACTTAATATACCCTGTTCAGGGTATAATTAAATAAGAAAAATTAGAGATAACATTATTTACTTACAAAATAAACAAATTTTCATGTCTTCTTCTCGAATTGCCATTTGTTAATAAAGTATTTGTGCTTTACTTTTTGTTATAATATTTTATACTCCTTTTCGAATGGGTTTCATCCTGTTATGACACTTTCACTTTTCACAATTTTCAAGGGCCTCAGCGGAGTCTCATAGTAGCTACGAGGCCAACAGTTCAGCAGCAATTTAAGCTCTCGAGGACTTCGATGGAAATATGTATGTAATGAGAACCGAATAGGTTCATCTCATTATTGTTGTTTTGTATACTTTTATAAAATATTCCCGAAATAAGTTTGAGGATTTGACGTAATTTTTGCTTACTGAACTCCGTGCACATAAAAATATTAACCTCTGCAGCCACACTTCTTATACGCCTGCAGGCATTTCCTCACAAATAAACTAGTCTTAGTATCCTTTTAGCCATTTAAGTTATGCTTGAATGCTTAAGCCATTCTTGAATACGTTAAGTTTCTTCGCTCTGTTTTTCTGATCCATTCTGCAATAGCCCTTGCTCTATTCAATTACTTATCCTTCGCTTTACATAATTTTCTCGCTAGTTTATCTGCAAAGCTGTCTATTCTATTATGTAGTTTTGTAAGTAGCCCGTAGAGCAAATATTTTCCCAAGCGTCTAACTTCATTGCGAAAGTTTAACGCAATTGGCAGTCAGTGGCTTAAGGGGCGGGGGAGGCGATTGCCGTCAGAAATGTTTTCCGTGTTACTAATTCCGCAACACACTTTTTGCTACTTCAAACTTTTCCACTTTAGCAAGTATGTGTGTGTGTACCCATTGAGCTCACCGCAGCGCGCACTTTGCTTTCATTGCAGGTGGAAATGCTTTATCAGCGCTACTTTCTGCGCATGAATCAGAGCAACACGACGCACATTCTGGCGTTGCTGCTGGCGTTGATTGTGGCTTTGTCAAGCGCGCAAATCGTCTTCACCACGCTGCAGCTGCGTCGCAGCACGACAGGAACAACGTTCGTCAGAACGAACTACACGCGCAACAATGCGGCTAACGGCATGAGCGGCGATGGTGGTAGCCACACTGTTGCTGGTGGCGGTGGCGGTGGCAGCGTTGCCATCGGCGCGAGTAATGGCAGCGCGACAGCGGCAACCTCAATTTTAACATTAACGGAAATGGGCAATCACCAGGCGCAACTCTTAAGCCGACAGTCGGTCCCAACTGACGCTACGATGAGCGGGTCCTCAGCGCAGCCGCTGTTCGGGCATGTAATCGTTGGTGATGTTACTGATGGCTTAGGCACGACAGTGAAAATTAGCGCACAACAATTTGTGGCAAGTGCGGCATTCAAGCAAACTCCAACATTGCCACCAACATTATCATCGGTTACATTACCGCCGTTACGCCCAGCCACCACCATTGCACCGCCTATAACCACGAAATCATCAACTTACCTGCCGTATGCGGCACAAGACTGGCGTGATCCGCAAATTTTCGTCGCACCTCTGCCACTCAGCGAACGCGTTGCTTATGCAGTCGACCGACATAGCAGCTCGGAGTGGTGGCTGCAAGCGCCAGCGGCTTTTAAGCGCCTTAAACGTAAATACCATCAACACAGCCATTGGCCGAAGTTGCATCGCTTCAAGCGTTCCAGGTGAGTACTCATTTATAGATTGCGCATAATGAAAATTGTTGTTGTTGCTTACAGCTTCCTAATGGGAATTTGTAAAAACGAACTTTAGTGAATTATCTGGCTTGTATAATGCGGTGATTTAACGCTCTAAGAATTTAGCGTACCTTATTATTCAGTAGCCTTTCAAGTGTTCTGAGGAAGTCCGCAGTATCTATGCAGTAACGATTCGGCGGTTTCAGGTGTACATGTAGTGAAGTCAACTTGGTTCCTTATAGCTTTCTTTCCAAGAATTCGAGCTAAGATTTTTGGAATCTATCTCCGTTCTTCTTCCATTTTCGCAAAGTGTTTGAAGCACCAGTACGGGCGGCTGCAACTTAGTTTTCTCATTCACAATTTTACAAAAGTAGTTCTGACGGTATTCTACTAACAACTCAAATATATTCCGTTCTAGACAGAAAAGTTCCCACTACCTTAACAACCGATTGCGTTGACGCAATTAAACCGGCCGTAAGCTCTAAAGCGATTCTGACAAATTAATATAATACGTCACTTATAAGAATTTATAGTATTTATATCTTTTTAAGCTGCTAAAAAACACAAGGTAACGAGACATTTCTCTGAACATACCAATATACCGCAATAATATAGAATTTCATGAGCTTCAGCTTTTACTGAACAGAGAAGCAACAACGGTTGAGTTGTCAGCGCGGAGAATTTGACTTTTAAAGCAAATTTATGAGCAACGCGATATGAAAAACCTATTTTTACCCTTTGTTAAACCAACAACAACCGTTGGCATAAAGTATGGAAGCCCGCGCATAAATTTCCGCGATAAGATTCGAAATGCCGCAGAGACGTCAATAAATATTAGGCGGCAAAAGCAAATTCCAGAAAAGGTTGACATTTAGGGCCGTAAAAAAGAATTAAAGTGAAAAATATGAATAAATCCAATGGTGGCGGAGAAAATAGGAAATGTTGTGGAAAATAAGAACGGAGCAGACAATAATTCAATTTACTTTGACTTGAGTAACTGTGAATACTTACAAATCGCTATTGACATATAAATACTATAACCCAATGAAAGTGAAATATATTTGCAATGGACTTGGTTAAATCAAATAGCTGAATAAATTTAAACCTTAAACTGCATTTAAAATTACGCGAACGGGATTACGGGATTAGTTCACTAATCTTCAGTCAACATTGAGTAAAATTTGTGAAAAGAAAAATATATTAAATAATGACCTTAATCTTTAATATCTTAACCCGAGACTGGCGAATCGATAAAAGTGCAATGTTGCCGTTTCAAAGCAGGCCAACTCTCACAGGCAGAAAATTATGTCAAAACCGCTCTGTTATCACTAAAAATGCCAGAATTCAGATGAAAGGCGACGCTTATGCGCATAGCCCAGACAACTGTTTCAAACACATGCACAGGCTGAGCGTCTAAAAAGCACATATTTGCTTTAACATTGTGATAGAAATACAGATACGAAGGAAAAAATATAAAAAGGAATCCTGCTTTGATATCATAAGCCGGCCAGAAAAATAAGCAGGCATATTTTTATACTCTTGCAGCATGGTGCTACAGAGCACAATAGTTTTGTTCATCTAACGGCAGTGCGTTTCATCTAAAACTAAGCGAGTTAGATATAGGGATATATGCATATATGTATACAAATAATTAGGATGACGAGACGAGCAGAAGTCCGGATGACTCTCCGTCTGTCCGTCCGTCCGTGCGAGCTGTAACTTGATTAAAATTTGAGATATCTTGGTGAAACTTGGTATGCTCTTTCCTTGGCAGAAACAAAACAAAATGAATCAACTGTTTATTGAAAAAGTGGGCGTGGCCCTCTAATAAATTTAATGTATACATCTCTTAAACCACAACAATATTTACCTACCACCAATATAATATTCTAAGAACTCCTAGCAACGGTATGAAAATTATTAAAATCGGGTGAAAACTCGCCCTAGACCCCATATAACTAATATGTGAGAGCAAGAATACAAAATGTTGGGTTATACCCGAACTTAGCTCTTTCTTTCTTGTTACATTTGTTGTTGTTGTACATGTCAGTTGGCAAACTAAACAGGTCATAATTTCTTGTGAGAATTAACTTTCTGACATATCACAAGCTTTCTATTTTTCCACACATTCTCCACTCTTGCAGCTCTCGCAACAGCAAGGGAGCACCTTCAGTGTCAGACTTTTTCAGGGCTTCAGCTTTGGCTTTCTGCGTATTTGTCTTCATTTCAAAAGTGCTGAATTATTTATTAATGCCTTCTGGCCGCTCTGTCCATTTTGAAATACAAGTTTGCTATTGTTTTAGTACATGAAAGAAAACATAAAACATTTTTTAGGACAGTGTACTAAATGGCTATTTGATTCATTTTGAATTCCATTTTTTTATATTTCTCTTTGGTTTGATGACGGTTTCTTACTGATTTGAGCAATTTTTTTTTTGTAAAACACTTAAGCTTAACCGTAACCTTAAGATTAGGTTAAAGGTCGGTTCAAAAACAGATCCCATTTGGAAAGCTGAGAACACTGGCCTTTTTGGTACCTTCAGCCGTGGACTCAAAAATGCTAAAATGGGCTTGCATATGTGTAAAAAATATGCTATTATTAATTGCTCTGAGATATATGATTTTGATCTACTTCAACGTTTTCATATCCTCAGCTTTATTCTTCCAGAAAATATGCCCTGTTATGCAATATAAACGTATGCAGTTAATTTTATTTATTAGTCTGTGACAAATGATGCAGTAATTCATTTATATGCTCTTATATATATACACATATTTATATGCTGATATATAAATCTGATTTACGTGCTTGGTGTTCTTTCTTTTCAACCTCGATCAATACAGATTGAAATTATTACATGACAACAACAAACTGCTAGCAGAGCATAACGTAGCGGCAAGTGTGGAGCTGGAACATCGGCGACCGACGACGAGGCGAGTGCGAATTATGCGACGCAAGCGAAATCACAGCAATGCTTTGGGAATGCCATGGCATGTGCGGGGCTTTGCGCGGGAACAGGACCCATCATTGCCCGAATATACTAGTTATACGAGACTGATAAAGCGACACGAGCACGCGAGCCGATTAGCTGCGCCCATCAAATACGAGCAAAAATTGGCAGCAATACCAGGTATAAGTGAAGCGACAGCGGAAGTCACAACGAATGACGGTGAGGATTCACTTGACGCTGAAAAAAATAATGAAAAGATTTATACAAACAACCATAACAACAACAATTACAAACAACATATGGCACGTAATGTTGATGAAGTGGAGTATAGCGTGCGCAGCAATGGAAATGTGACAACGACGATGACAACCGGGCACTACGACGCCATAAATGAACACACGCTGGACAATGCAACCAACACAATTGCGGCGGCAACAACAAGAGCTGATGTGTCCATATTGGCGAATACGGGCGGTGGCAAACGTATAGCAAATCTGCTAGCTGCGAAAGCTTCATTAGAGCAACGGCAGCAAGTCGAGCCGTCGACAATGCCCAGTGATGTGGAACAAATCACAGCTGCGCCTGGAAATGTCGCATACCCCGACTTGCGTCTGCTGCTCGAAACGCTGTCAGCAATTGATGAACGTGTACTGGTCTTTCTTGTGGTGATGACAATTTGTGTGCTGGTCTATGCATGTGAGTACAAACTTGTACAAATGTCAATTGGTTGAGGGCCCAATAAGCGTGTCACCAGTAAGAAGTGAAAAGTGGTTAGCTCGTTGGGTTGGGGTTGGGGTTGGGAAATGAAAGCTGTGAGGGTCACAAATCAGTTGAATGCAAATTTTGAAAATGTCAGCTCTTGCTTTTAGTACAAAGCATGCTTTACTGTTATGTAGGTGCCCTCTCAGTTGTTGTTGTTTGTTGTTGCAAGTGAAGTAAGGTTTTTTGTAGGAGAAAATGCTAATAAAGATGCAGAGCTATATATCGAGGGCATGGATCGGTATCTAAGATATGAGATCTGTCAATTAGTAAACATAGTACAAATACGATATTTACGATAATAACAATTCCCATTGGATCAAAGTTGACTTGAACTTGAAAAAAACTATAATTTCACATATTTTATTACAAAGGCTTATTATAGTCAATACTTAATTAAATTTTTCGTGTTTGTATCAATCTTTTTATTATTGGTTTTGTTTGCTCGCTCAGTCCGGGTCAAATTTGATCATATAGTAGAATAATATACTACCATGAGCAAAAAATAGTAAGACTTTGTTTGTTCAAAATTCTTAATTTATTCTTCAAAATCTATGTCGTACTCTTCAAAGTAATCCCCTTGGTTCCAAATTTTCCAATCCTCGAAACAGTGTTTAAAATGAATTCCCGAAATATCCGAAATTATCAGCCTATAATTCCGGCGTTTTTTTACGGATAGCTTCGCACAGACTACGTATAATAGAAGACGGCTCACATATTACGAGTATTGTGACAGTTTGGAGGGTCGAAGAAATTCGGAGTGTACCACACCAAAAAGTCGAAGAAAACTGTCAACATAGCCTTGATTTTTCACCTGCTTTGACGTTGTTTTTCGGCTTCGGCACATTTTTACCAAGATATTTGGTAAAAAGATAGATCCAAGACTCATCACTAGTAATAATACGTTTCATGATATCCTGTCAGGCGGAAAGCATTGTTTCACGGACGTTAACGCGACGATGTTTTAGAGGAATTTTATTGGTGCTTTCACTTTTCTTAGGCCCAAATGATCTTTCCACGATGTCAGTAAGATCTCTGGCTGTTAATGGGGTTGATTATGAGTTGATGTTGATCGCCATTCTGAACGTGGTTCGCCGTCAACGCGTTCTCGACGTTCTTTGAATAATTTTTACAAATAAAAAACCTTTGCTCGGGACAACTAATTATCACCGAAGGCCTTTTCCAAGGTTCGGAACGTTTCGGCACCAGAAATTTGATTCCTCACACCAAATTTTATGGAACTCTTTGTTGAATAATTTCACTCATCGTAAAAATCGTCGAATGCACTTTATGTACTTCAGAAAGACAAGCGTATACTATACACCAATGTTCATTTGGATGTGACATTAGGCAAAGATGTTACAAACAGTGACGCCAACCTAGAAAAAAAAAACAATATTTCGATGAATGGGTTTTAGCGGGAAATTTAAATTAAAAAGTTTTACTATTTTCTGCCTACTGTAGCGATGTTTTCAAATAGTCATACGAACAAAAATATCTTCAGAACTTAAAGGGACTTGAAGAGGTTCAGAACTGCTGAGCGGTTTTTAAAATTTCTCAAGATTTCTCAAAATTGCTGACAAATTTCTTACATATTTTATGAGATTAAAGTAAGTAACATAATACTAGATATATTATATAATAGTTAATTTATATTATGAAGTTCCATAAAAATTAATAACTCAAGTTTCACATTTGAAGTGGTCAGTAGTACTAATAGATTTCCTTAAAAAGTTTAATATCCATTTGTCATGCAATATGCGGAGCCTCTAACTCAATCCGAGCAAACTCAATTACATCATATGAAAAATTTTATTTGCAATATTATTTATTTATTTCAATTTAATTTCTATTTGCCAATTGCTGCAGCACTATTGTGCATACTCTCGAAACCGGCAATGAATGAGATCTTCCTGGTGCTGGTGTCTTATGTAATTGTGGGCACATTTGTTGCCATCGAAATTGCCGTCGGCTACGCGACGTTGCCAAGGTGAGTATATAGAATATTGAACATCGATTGCTTCATAACAAACGATGCTTCCATTATGTGTGCTGATCGTGGGCGCATATGTTTATTTGTATGGATTTATGTGTGAAGTGTACATTTATGAGTGTGGACATGCTTTGTTGCTATAAATAGTAAACACATTTGATTTTATTGTTCGCGTTCAGCTTATGAGCACTTTTGTACTCACTGTAATTGAGATGTGGGCGGAGTTTGTGAGCATAATAAGCTGCTGATTGCGCTTGGTTGCATTTAATATGCTTCAATGCTGATATTGATTGTAGCGAGTCTACAGAACTTCAAGCTATAGCGTAAATCGCAAGTAAATAGGCAGCAACGCTCTGCAATTCAGCTGTTATATTTCATATATTTATGCAATACCTCATGAAAATAAGAGTATAATTGGTGTGGTATGCACATCTATTATGAAGTTAGATGCATTTCAAGCTCAGCGCGCGAATTTGCGTATTTAAATGCTGAAAGCTTATCTGATTGAGTTTCGGTTTTGGAAAACACAAAAAGTTTAAAAAAAAAAAATAATATTTCCATTACAAATACCTTACCTCATAAGCATGTCTAATAACTTAATTTAAAAAAAAAAAAAAAACAGTATTGTTTTGCTGATGTCTCCACGAAAAAATTTAAAATATTTATATTGTGCCATATCTAGTTAACTTTTTCATTTGCAAAGAGGGTATTATTGGTTAAACAGTTTTTCGGCTTTATTGTGATTATACCCTGAACGAGGCATATTAAGTTTGAACGAAGTTTGTATCACCCAAAACAAAACTTTAGAGACCCTGTAAAGTATTTATATAGTATACAAATAATCATTTTCTGATATCGCAGCACTATAACATCTAGTTGCCATATAAAATACAATAAAAAATCAACTCCTTGTATGGAAAATTTCCTTATTTGATGAGATATCTTTCTTCAATTTGGCACATAATTTTTCTCAAGATAACGGTACAACCTTCAAAAAAATTGTTAAGATCAGACCACTATAACATATAGCTGCCACACACTAGATAACCGATCAAAATCTAGATACGATACTTTTTATACATTTTTATCTTATTAGAAATGATCATATGAAGGGTACTAAAGTCATATTGCAGCCGAATTTAACTTTTTGTGTTTTGCTTGTAATATGAAATTCATGCATAGCCATGTTGTTGACATTAAGTAGAGCATTTGTATAAAACATTTATGCTTTGTCTAATTATTAGCTGCGATTTCTTGTTCGAAAGCAAAAACACGCGCAAATGAAATCCCTCACATGAAAACAATTTGGATTACAGCTTTTTGTTGTTAAAAATTCGCTCTAAAGCGCAGTGTTTTTCCAAAGCGCATAACTCTAGCACTGATACCCGGGGCGTATACGCAACATGCGCTTCTGGTTGATCGTATATATGTATGTGACACATGAATCGCAGTATGTATGGCTTACATACGCTCACTCTGTAATATATAAAAACCACACACACACACTCCTACATATACAAGCATACTTCATTAAATTATTATTTCTTGCGGAATACCCCAGGAGTCTCTATTTATCTCACTTATTTCTTTATATTTGTGTGAATCTGTATGCGTTTGGTTATATTTTCCCCTCTGTTTTGCAGCAAGTCGTACAATGGCAGTTCCTGTTGTGTTGTCTTCATCTACATGACGTACACAATGTTGCCGCTGCGTCTTCGTGAGGCTCTCATCGGCGGTATCGTGTTGTCGTGCATGCACATCTACACTAGTCTGCGCTACACAGAAGCGACGATTCATTGGCAGGAGGTGAGTTGCAACGCACATATGCACATACATACTAATATCGTTTGACGCTAGAATATATACCATATATACATATATACACTCACTTATCATAATAATAAAGTAATATTGCAGTATTGAAGAGAGTGCAGTCAATTTGTTGATGTAGTTTATTATTTCGCAAGAATGCGACAACACACACCCAGTTACCTCACTCAAGAAGTCGGTACATGAGCAATGAGTGAAAATTTTTCTATTTAATGAAGTTCCCTTACTACGGGGAAGCAACATGCACACAGCTGTTTTTTTACTGTGACTGCGGCTTAGTTGTTTTGCGCGCTTGTTGCACATCGCATGACTTCTTTGCTGTTTGTCTCTGTCGCTGTTGAGAAATGTCGTAATGCGATCGCTGCAGGATGAGTTTGTTTGTTTGCGCGTGGAATTTTTGTCGCTAGAAAAATATGTTGGAAGACGACAGATTAAGTTGATGATATTCACTGCAGTGCAGCGTGTTTATAGTGACGTATGTTCATATATATGATTACAAGAGCTTATTATCATATACTTTACGGTTAACTTAGCTGGTGGGGATGAGTGACGCTTAGAATACAAATCCTTGAACTGTTTAAATAGGGGAGATTTTTCCTTTTAAATATTTTTAGACTATCTTCATAATAAATAAAATGCTTTCAACGTTGAATGGGAGCACTTTGCTAGCTTCTTTGAATTAGGATAGAAGGTGTCATCCGATCTTAGCAGCTTTTTTATAGCAGCCAGAACATTTCCACAAATTTGATCCACTCTCAAAATAAGCTCCTGAGTCAAGATATGCATGCCAGCTCTAAATCAGGCTTCAGTTTTTTCAGCGAATTTTCATTTTTGAGCAACATTCGCTTTTTTTTCTGAACAGTTTCGGATATGCACCATCGCAATTCTAGTTACCAGTACTGAAGCATTTCAAGAATGTAGGGTTATGTTGTCAAGCCACTATTTGTCACTCGACATCGTTGTTTTTTAAATTCAGGTCTTTTGGTTGGTGTCTAATATTGGCAAGCTTCATACTCCAAATGTTTAACCAGTACAAATTTTCGTGATTAAAAATAATAATTTTAAATTATTTAATTAAATAATTGGTTAAGGATATACCAGCGTTTTACAAATTTTATTTGCTCGTTTTAGTTCTACGGAGAATGCTTTTGAAAATATGTACTTACATTAGGGTGGTACTAGTAACCTTAAGATTTATAGAAAAATTAAATTGGTTTGACATATTTTGGGGCTTAACCAATATTTACAAAAAAAAAAAATAAAAAATAAAAATAATCGCTTAACTTATATTATAATTATTTAGATAGTAAAGCATTTGAGTTAGAGATTACCATATATTTTTTCGATTTTTTTTACGAAAAGTGAAATCGAATATGAGCTTCATCCTAAATGTAGGCAAGAAATCTTGATATTGGCTATATTCAAACTAAGGCAAAATCGACGACAAATTTTCACATAATCGTTACTACAAAGTTGAACCGAAACAAGTCTGGATTAATTTTAATACATAATGTGATGCATTAAGAGAAAATTCAATAAAATCCATACTATTTAAGTTTTTCCTGCTCGTATATCTGTATTATAAGTGTGTAAATGATTTTGTTTGCGTGGAAATTATTTAACAACAAACTCAAATATTCAGTTTGCATTTTAATAATGTATTAAAAGCATACAACGGCAGTCAGTCAATAGTAAAAAAATAGACATAAAAAACAGTGCTATTTTTCCATTGATTTAAAATGTTGTGCACAAATGTGTACGTACAATTATATATTCGTATATTATACAATTATATTCAAGTATGTGTCTGGATATATGTAGGTGTATGTATTGGTATACTATATGCTCTGATTCCTGCAAACTTCATTGACTTAAATCAATAAGATGTGAATGTAAATGAAAATTCCATATTAAACTCATTTTCAGGTTTCGCATTGCAGGTATTTATATACACAGGTATTAACGGTTGTTTGCGCGATGTTGTTATAATGCCTGCATAAGTAGTGGGAATTAGCACACGAGCAATGTTGTGTTGGCCACAACAATACAAACATGTTTCCATTTTGATGGCATATAACGCATATTTAATGTTTTCAAATATTACGTGCGCTCGTCTGTCGAATATAAAAACAATATAAACAGTTAAAGATTAAGCATTGTAAAACGATTATCATTAAAAACCTTAATCAAGTTAGCGCATCAATTGCATTTCGAATGATTCCATTTCGATTATGTAGAAATGCAAGTATAGAAAAAATTGTGTGAGAATAATTGTTTTTTAATTCGAAAAGGATTTTGATTAATTTTAACATACATTTATTTGACATCTATTGTAGTAAATTATCTAATAGAATAGTTATTATTAATAAATTAAGTAATTGATGGATTTTTAAATTACTTTTTGACAAAGAAATGCAAGTGTGCTTTTCTCTTTTGTTTAAGTTTTGATTGGCTACTTCTCACTTACTATCATTGAGCTCTGCCATTTTGTCTAAAAAAATCATGAGAAAATATCTGGAAAGTTATATAGTTTAATTAAATACTCGAGAGTATATGAGTACTTCTAAAAAAGTGGTAAAATCGCTGTCATTTTACTCTTACTTATGCCGATTTTATAATTATATGATATTCTTCATCAAAAAAACGATGGTAGCCCATTGGAAGTTGCACCACGATAAAGCCCCGTCTCACACCGTCTTTATTGTGAACAGCGACCTAAGCAAGGCCGGCAACCTTCGCTTCTGCAGCCGCCCTAAAGCGTAATGTGGCCCCACGGACTTTTTTAGTTTCCTTGCCTCAAACATTTTGACACGACAGAGGGGATCCCAGAAATATGCACCTCGTCTCTCAAGGCTATTCCGGAGAATACCTTCCGTGACGCCTTCAATGCTTGTAAATCGGCCTGGCAGCCCTACATCGACGCAGAAGGAGTCTATTTTCAAAGCTTTTAAAAAAATGTAACGACTGGTTTACACAATTTTTTTAAATCGACTCAGTCCTATTACTTTCCACACAAACCCTGTACAATAGCGTTGGAGGAAGTGTGTAGGCAACTTTGTTTTACTGAGGCTAAATGGTGCGAGATATTGTTATTGGTAACTTAGGAGCAGGCTTACATATATACTAATACTTGCCTTGTTATAAATCCTGTGATGGACGCACCCTGGATATCTAATCAAGGCGTCTTTACACACTTTTGACCTATAAAGCTAACAACTTCTGAGGCTGCATTATGACTGATAGTGTTCTTAGAGTGGTCAGTTCTTTTGCTGCTCGCCTTTCGTGCACATTTCTGCCACAGTTCTGCAATATTCTTCTGCTTAGTTTGCTTGAAGTGTAACACAGAAGAGGAATCTAATAAATGAGTTTAAAATCGTCCATTCAAATTATATACGCAAACGTAAATGTTATATAAATGTATACAAAATATACTACATATAAAATATGTAAGAGAGTAAGTAATTCCACTTAAAAAGCGTTCGGAAAATTAAACTGTTGAGCGGAAAAGAATATTCCTATATAATTTTACGCCCAAATTTTAGAATTTCCGGTGCACTTTGTCGCTCTGATTGTTTGCTTTCACTTTTATAATTTTGAATGAAATCTTTTGCGGCTACTACTTGTTTGCCGGTTCAGAAGATCCAACACCTAAAAAAACTTAAAGCAGTGCGTTAATTGCCTAAAATTGTAGATAAATAGCAAACTTGGTATGAAAGATAGAAAATGTTCTGAATGCAGTTATTGGTCCTTAAGTGTACACCCCCTATGGAAATACTAAAAACAAGATTCTTTCTTATCATATCCTAAAATTTCCAATGTGTAGAGTAGCCCACACACACACATACATATATATATAAACGAAAGCACTCAGTGAATCTGCCAGTACTCAGACAAGTTGGCTACAAAAGAAAAGAATAAGTGCAGGGAGCTATTCAATTTGCTAGCGGCAAGAACAGATGTACTACAATGGAAACTGACAGGAAATTACAATAAGCACGGTAAAATCTGTTAAACGAAGACTACGTGCAGCAGAAACGGGCACGAATGCATCAAAGGATGCTCCCTGCACTTGTGTAGAGTGCTGCAAACACTTGTAGTTCATCCATAAGACTAACTTAATAGGTCTCTGGTTGTGGATACAAAAAACTAGCGTACACACACATAGACACTAAACACACGTGTAAAAGCGACAAATACACCGCCACAAATAAACCAACGCTTTCACTTACGATTGCAATTTCTTGTGGCATGCCACATGCATGGCTTGCGTTCACAAGGCAATTGTGTTTACTCCTCTGCGCCACAAACATGTGTCCGCTCACACACACCTACAATACAAAATGTCTACACAGTGGCACTCTGCAAGCTATTCTTAAACGTTTCCCTCCACTCGAGCTGTGTGTGCCTAGTTGCAATAATAGCTGCATATATGCGCCGAATGGAATGTGATGAATTATTCCTTGTTGCCACACATTTCCACATGCTTTCACCCATTTATTCATTTACTTTATAACAATTTTCTCTTTTCCACTTCTCGGTCACAACTCAACGTGCAACAGTTGTTCTGCAGCCTCTTGGCATTACTCCTCTCCAATCTGACTGGCATTTACACACATTGGCCGAAGGAGAAGGCGCAACGGAAGGCGTTCATCGAGACGCGACAGTGCATTGAGGCGCGGTTGCGTACGCAGCGCGAAAATCAGCAACAGGTGAGTAGTCGCAATTCGTATTCACTCAAAAGCTACTCACATCTTAAAAAGTGTGAGTGGGGGTAGCGGCATGCTTGCATGTATGTGTGTTGATGTGACTTTGACTTCATACGATCCCCATATTTGTTTGCCCCTTGTCAAGTGCCGAGTGATGGTGATAGCGAGACTTCTGGAAGGCTTTGTAGAAATTTCAGAGGCCTTATATCTCTGATATTTTAAAAAATTAGTCTTGAATAGAGTGAGAAAATATAACAAGAAGTTATATTTGGTTTAAGGGGTACTTGCACATAAATAAAAATAAAAATTAATATTTTAAAGCGCTTCTATAATCGGTTTTGCATTTTACAAAATTTTGGATTCACTTGATTAAGTCGATATTTCGGAAAGCCTCAGAAAAGAGATATCTGACGGTGACGAAGGATTTTTGGCTCTAACTTATATCCATTAAAAATTGAAAATGTTAGATATAAATGAATACGGGTAATGGATGAAAACGTAGTCCAAAGATTTCAATTCGATGAAGAGCAATACTGGGTATAACCCAATATATATAACCGTAAATTGGTTTGCCTTTTGTTTTCAATAAAAACGGCTTCAACCCTAAGCTCTCTGAACAAAGAATTTTGAAAGTTGATCTAACAAATTATTTTTTCTATCCGATCCAACTAAGCCTCACCAATCATCCACCAACAGCCAGTAATTCAAATCCACATTTCCCTGAAAGGCCTTCATTAGGAAAAATTTTCCGCATTTGCTCTAAGCTCTGGCATCACATTCACGTCGCTGCTATTTTTTTGCACTCTCGCTTGGCATTGTTTGCTTTCAGTGGTGCCGGTTGGTAAACTCGCCAGCCACATATTGTTTTAGTGCATTGCTCCCTGGGCGAACAGGTATGAGTGTAACTCGTTAGCGCGTTGGTGACTGCACGTGCATGTGGGCGTGCTAGTGTGGGCATTTTCCATACAAATCCACACACACACGCTTATTTGAGTTTGTTTTTGTTTTTGTTCAAAAGCTTAGTTTTGTACACTTCTTTTCTGCATTCTGCTGCAGTGCGTACATGGCGGGACTCCCACAGTTGACACCTTGTAGCGCACAAATCTGCGGTTTTCCACTACACATCCTTCACCGGCAGCTTAACACATATTTGCCACTATTCACCATCATTTTGGCTTTCATGTCACATTGCATATTCATGGCAAACCAAATTATCGGTGAGTTTTTGCAGGGGTTATACAAGAAGGCCTGAGGAAAGCGGATAAACATTCAGAGGAAGTGAAGTTGAGAAGTTTTCGTGAGCTTACGAGCAATGAATATTACTTTAGCGAGCTATTCATGCTTGCTTCAAAAGCTAATTTGAATAGTCACAGTATATACATAGATCGATTAATTTGTATGCCTATGTGTATGTTAGAAAGACTACATTATCATTATGGAATTAATTAAGCTACACAAAAGCCAGTAGCTATTGAAATGCGAATTTCAGCCTCTAGTTTCTCACCCATAATCACTTATTCCTAACTTTCGATTGTAATTACCTGAAGTACATACCGAGAAAAGCACTCGTGTAGTAGTTAATTTGTTTAATATCTGAGAAAAATTACATTAGAGGGCTATTATGCTTTACCTATCGGCATTTGAGAATAAATTTTGAAATTCCCTGCAGGAAAACTCGTTTGGAAGTATTTCCCCTTCTACATTTCAATAAATAATAAATTAAATAATAAATAAAATATAAACGAAATTGGAGACTTTTGACGCCATCTGACGCCATCTGACGATGGTCGGCCAGTTTCTTTGAACTCGGTACTGCGGAAGATTTATGGTCCGCAGTCGCTGGAACGATGAGTTGTACGAGATATACGACGACATTGACATAGTTCAGCGAATTAAGAGGCAGCGGTTACGCTGGCTAGGTGCTATCGTTCGAATGGTCGAAAACACCCCAGTTATAAGGGTATTCGACGCACTACGCCTAGCTATACTTGAAATCTCCAATTTTCGCCAAACAGCAAAAAGGAAGAACGACTGGCGCGCTGGCGACCATAATCGCCAATAAAGAAGAAGAACCAAATTTCGTGTGCGGAATGGATGCGAATGTTGAAAAAGGCTTACGGTAATTCAGTTTTATCAAAAAACATGCCTAGGAGTGGTATATAGATTCAAAGACGATGGAGAGTTCGTTGAAGACATGCGTCGTACTGGACGACCTTCGAACTTGTCAACTGATGAAAATGTTGAAAAAGTGAAGGACAGTGTGCTTGAAAATCATTAGGCGAAAAGTTTGACTGCAAGCAAGTCAACAATCATCAGAATGGAATCCGCGTTCGGTCGATCGAAGAGATAAAACAAAATTCGCTTGAAGAGCGGAAGGTCATTCTAAAAACTGCTTATGAAAAGTGTTTCGAAGACTGGCAAAATCGTTGGCATAAGTATATTATATTTGGTGGGGATTACTTTAAAGGCGACCATATAAAAATTGATGGAAAATTAATTATTTTGCGTTTTATTTACAATTTCCGGTTTTTGTCGGAATGTATGTACTGACCCTTTGTACTCTGTCGTTTCTAGTATATTTGATTGCCAAATTTTCCTCGCAGTTTTAATACGTTTTATTAGACAAAAGTTCTGTTTTTTGTTTTTTTTTTCTGAATGTCAAAGTCAAAGGTTAGTCAATTCCCAAATAAACTGATGGCGCTTACTTACTTTGAGTTAGTGTTCAATGTTAAAGCACAGCAGTGTACGACTTTTCCTTGACCTTCGCTTAGCTTTGACTTTTCCAATTTAAAAGCACCGCTAATAATCGAAATGCCGCAAGTGTATCTTGTTTAGCAGGCAGCCAGAAAGCCCTAAGCGAAAAACTGCAAAAAAGTTTCATTTTATATAATATTATTATATAACGGAGCCAGTAGTCGCACTTCACCGAGGCCAAAATGCAGTAGCGGCCGGTTTGACGATGTTGGAGATGGTGTTGCAGTTCTGTTTCCATCAACAAATGAAAAAGTAAGGCAAAGAAGAAGAGAGAAAGTAACTTGCATGGCATGTGCTACATGTATACAGGTTTACATGTGTGCATGTGTGGGTGTGTGGTTGTGTTGGTAAGAGATCGCATAAGCTGAGCGGCGCGGTTCGAAGCCGAGTCTACCAAAAGGAGCAAAAGTCGCCAAGTTGCCGCGAAAGCACATAAGTAAAAAAGTTCATAAAGCAAATAAAACTTTGATAAGTTGCTCCAACAAAAAGTAAAATAAGTTAAAAGGAATTTTTTCCGTCACTAAACTATTGTTTGTGTAATATGTACATACATATGTAAGCATCTGTTTCATTTTCACAAAGAGAAACAAAATTTTCCGTGCCCTCCAATATTTAATACAATTTTTTTGTTACATTTGTTTTCACATTTTTTTCTTTAATTTGATTTTTCGCCATCAACCGCGCTTCAATTTATTTTGGGATCAATTATTCAAACATTTCTGCTTTAATTTATTTAATATTTAAGCCAATTTAAATTGAATTTTTCTTCGTATTTGGCAAAGTGTTTAATTTCATGTTGTTGTATTGCTTGTATTGTTTTTGCATTGCCGCAGGAACGTCTGCTGCTGTCGGTGTTGCCGCGTCACGTTGCCATGGAAATGAAGGACGACATTGCAGGGCAGCCACGTGATACGCAGTTTCACAAAATCTATATACAACGACACGAGAATGTCAGGTGAGCCAAAAAATGAGTGTTCTGATGTTTTAGCAAGTAACTGCATAAAGATTCAGACATATTTAAATCATTCTCACGTACTAAATCATGTGTGTTTAAAGAAGTACGTAATACCGATTTTTTATTGTAAACAACAGCGTTGAATCTGAAACAATCTTGCTGTTGTGAACCTCTTTTTCATGACTAATGGCAATGAGTGGCTATTCAGTTGTGCTTAGTCACAATTATATGATAATTATCTTTTAAATTTTTTTTTTCGAACTGAAGTAATGAAGCTCCATCCTCAGACTCAGAACACTTTTTCATTCTTCTCCACTTCGCTTGGCAGAAAAAAGCATTACGATAAAAATATTCTTCGTGTTCCGATAATTATACGGAGGTAATTTCTGGAAGACGAACCAACTATTTAATTTATTAAAAGGAATAAAGTTAAATGAATTAATAAAATGTGATCCTTCATTCTTCTAGCACTACAGATGCAAATCAAATCAGAAAGTCAATATAATGGTATGTCACCCATATGTCTAATGCTACTATGAGCAAAAAATAGTAAGACTTTGTTCATAACTTGAAAACCTTTAATTTTTTTCAAAATCTATGTCACCTCCTCAAATTTGAGTTTTCTGAATGTTCAAAAGTAATACGGGTCTAAATTAAACGACTTCTGTAGGTTCGGCGAAAAAGTTACGAAGAATCAAATCAGTATGCGATGGTGTATTATTTTGGTGCAAAAACCAAAAGGTGTCGGATTATAATTAAGGCCTCCTTTTACGGACAGCTTCGAGCAAACGACGCATAACTCTCAAATAGTATACCAGTTGACAGTTTGGATGGTCAGAAGGAATTCGGAGTGCACATCATCTCAATAGTTAAAGAAAACTGTTAACATAGCCTTGATTTTTGACCTCTCTTTGACGTGACCTTTTTCGGTTCCGAAATTAAAATTAGTCATTATTAAGTCTTACTGGTTTTGTATATAGTATAATTTCTTATAGAGTATATTTTTGGTTCCAGTGCCTGCTATTATATGATCCATCCACAAGGTCAGACAAACCACAGTTTGTAAAATTTCCCAAGAATATGCAATTTTTGTTGTTTCTCGCTTACACAGTAAATTGTATGGACAAGAAGGTGATTGAATACAGGTAAAAAAAAAAGAGAAAGCTTACTTAACTTGAAAGCAAAGAAACTTTGGAAGAGAGTTATGCCGTAGTCCCACCAAAGGTCTCTTTTCAGCTTAGAAAATTTGTAGTCTTCATATTAAGTTATTCTAGTTAGACTAAAACAAATGAAATATTCAAAATCGAAGCTGTTCCGGATAAAATTCATTCCCAAATATTTACTTCACGCCGGTATTACTAGAATATAGAGATAGAATGAAAATCGTTACTTCTATTTTAAGGACTATTCAAATACACACATATTTATATCTCCATTTTCTCCAAGTTAAATTACCGTTCATTCATCAACAATTACATTTTTTCTATCCGAGTACAATTACTAATAATCTCAGGCGACATTCTGCAGAAGTGCAGAAGTAGCCTCTCGTGCCATTTCATGTACAGCCCCGTAAGGCATCTGTACCGTTACACGCTTTCAGCGAATTTATGAAGGGAACAACAATTTTCTTACAATTTCCTATTGCCACACAACGCTCCCCGACCCCAACAACAAAAGTGTTATGAGTTAAGCTGTTATGACCCACGCCACATACATTTAGCCTATTTGCCAGCGTCAAGTGAGGAGGGTGCGTAAAAAAGCGCAAAATAAAACGCGTCAAGGTGATTACTATGTGAATTGCTCTTTTCCTGTTTTCTGAATTGCCACTTTGGAAGAAAACGGAATATGCGCGAGGGGTGCACACAAATATGTTCGTAGGCAGGTAATTTCGACGACGCCGTTTCGAAGAGAGAATGAGCATTCACGAATATTTGGTGTGGGCAAAAAAATAAAAGAAATCTCGTGCAAAATCTCATAAAAGAAGAGCCTGAGATAAATTTACGTCTGCGAGTCTGATGCTTTGAAATGCGAGTTATATGTATATGTATAGATGAATAAGTGTTAAGCTTCGAAATATTTCGGTCTCGATATATTTATCAGTTATGAGTGGCGCAGCCAGTAATTGCATAACTAATTGAAATAAAGTTTCTTTAATTAATAATTTAAAGCTGAGTACCTGAGTTTGTTCAGGGAAACCGGTAGAATTTGAAGCTCAAGTAGTTTTTTTTAGAAAAATGCTATAAATTGCAAGATTCATTATATAAGCAGCCCTTATTTGTTGCAAGTGGACTGCATTTATTTGCTTTAGCACGTGTTATATAAACAAAGGTTGACGCCAAAAACGGTAAGAATGCTTATTCTCCAAAAGGCTTGTCCAGTGCAGTAGCCCTGCTGCCTGTAGTTGGCACAGATACACAAATACAGAGTATATTACACATACATTAGTATATTGCCGATAACTTTAGGTTATATTTAGCTCGTCCACTTCTTTGTTTAGTCATTTGTAATTATCATTGGCGCCACAAAATATAGAGACATTCAGCTGGCTCCGGGCGCACTCATGTGCTTTCAGGTGATTTGCTGCGTATCTCAATTTCCAAGCTAAACCGATGATTTTTCCAAGCAATTAAGCATTAATTATACTTACTCCAAGAATTAGTATGTGGCTGAACACAAGTAGTGGTCTGCATGTAGCTGTGCATGCAAAGCAGGAAACAGTGGAACAAATGTTTATTTCCTAAATATATAGCAAAAGTTGAGTATTATAAAAAGTGGATTTGCTGAGATTAGCACAAGAATGTTTCTAAATTGTTTTGACTATGTGCCTATGTATTTTTATAAATATCATTTTTCAAACACCCATGACTTTGAACTCTTATTGTAATCTGGCCGAAATAACAGGTGGGCTGAAAAGTTCGTGTGATAACACATATTTTTTTTTTAATTTTGATTCTATTATTTAATGTAGATATCTTCCAAGACAGTACAACGACTACAGCGTAAAAAATTTTTTTCAATACAGTTTTTACAATACATTTGCTCTAGGCTTCAAAATAAGCTTCAGTTTCTGCGATTATCTTTTTTTTGTTGCTACATTTCTTTTCAGCGAGTATTCTTTTGAGCTCTGAGGACAGAAAACAGTCACTGGTGGCCAGACCTTTCTTCTTCTTAAAGATAATGAATATTATGATGAAATATTATACCATGTACTGCCCAAAATAACGATGTCATAACATTTCCCGCCACCTTTTGCGTTTTTTCACGCTTTGAGTTGGGTTCATTATGCGCAGTTCACTCGGCTGATTGTCGACTGGACTCCGTTGTGATACGGTGGAGCCATATTTCATCCATTGCCATTTATTGACGCAAAAAATCGGTTTTATTACGATTAAAGAGCTTCAAATACTTCTCAAATCAGCAAATCGTTGTTGTTTTTTTTTGGCACACAGCTTTCGTATTTATAAATATAGAGACTCAGCATCCAAAATTATTTTGTGGACTTTTTTAATATTTTCGTCAGTAAAAACGGCTTTCTTTCTATACCATTCCAATATACATGATGTCTGATTAAACTCCATAAATAATAATTATTAAAATCTTTGCTTTCTCTCTCTTCGAATAGCATCCTCTTTGCGGATATCTGCGGTTTCACCAGTCTCTCTGATCAATGCACCGCGGAGGAGTTGGTACGATTGCTCAATGAATTATTTGCCAGGTAAAACTAAATACTGTTATATTCAATAAAAGTTTATTGGAAAATAAATTTATATATATTTCATATATAAAAACATATTCGTAATTTCTGAGATCTATATAAGAAATTTTGTTTAGTTAACTTTAATAAGGGAAGAGGACATAAACCAAAATTTGTTGAAAAATATACAACTAATTTATGGTTGACCAGTCGTTATTGATTCCAGCTGTTTTATAATTTCTTTAAATTCTTGACTCTTTGTTTCTTACTTTACTCAAAATATATCTCTAAACCAAATTTGGGCTCATCTTTGACAGAAATAACTACAGAAATGACAATCTTTACTGCAAATATTTTGTTTGCTCTGTCTTTATGTGTTTACGAGCGAATACACATCAATTTTCAATGGCAGGTGTGTGTTGAAGCACGAGTAAGCCATAAATTCACAAAGCGATTTATCTTGATCAACGAAACAAAATAATTAATTGTTATACCGTAATAGCATACGATAACAAATAATTAAACATAATTTGCTTCTAAATTGTTTCAGGTGTACGCATAAATAATAAGTCACATGTGACGCTCATACATATGTGTAGTAGAAATGTGTTTGTGTAAGTTAAGCTGTCTAATCGCCAGCTTCGGCATTGTAAAATGATTATTAATTCGATGTGTGTCGAGACGGTGCACAAGTCATTTGAAAAGTTGTCGAAAGGCAACAATGGAGGCCAAAATGTTCAGTACACTCATAAATAAGTGCGATATGGTAGTTCTTTTGAGAATGAGAAAATTAGCACCAAGCATTTCATATGGCCTTAAATATTATAGTGAACTTTTACTCCTTAGTATATATATTGCATACGTATACTATATATACATGGAACATTTTATGAATCCTTATTATACGCTTATTTATTGGTTTTACCGCTTTTTTTTTAATTATCGCAAAAATGTAGATTTGATCGATTGGCCGCTGAGCATCATTGTCTGCGCATTAAACTTTTGGGCGATTGTTATTATTGTGTTTCTGGACTGCCGGAGCCGCGACCGGATCACGCTCATTGTGCAGTGGAAATGGGCTTGGACATGATTGATGCGATAGCGTAAGTGCAAAACAGCTTATAAATATAATTTGCTTACACCTAAACCTTCAAAGAAAATAAGTAAGAAATAGAAAGTCGAGCATGTGATTGGGGAGAATTTTATAAGAGCGATTGAAATTGCAACATACATTTAGGCGCTTGAACACGTTTGGACACTTGAATATGGTACACCAATCCCATAGAGGTTTTGCCAACATGTCGGATTTACTGTGAATATTTTTTGGTATTTTTATCAAACTAGAAACATAGGAATAATAAAGGAAGAATTTAATCAATTACACGTGTATGCAGGAAATATTTTAATTATATATGTAGACTGTTTTTGTTACATTTTGTTAGATAGAAGCGATATCGTTAAATTTTTACTAAAAAATCATTACATTTTCTAATAATTCCGCGAATTTTCATATTTATGCCCAAGGTCTTCCCTTTTTTGCCGAAATTAAATATTTTGTGTATATCTTTCTCTGGCCGAAATTGCTTTCATTTACTTTATTTACTCGAAACCATAGGCTTGTTCGCGAAGTGATGGCGGTCAATGTAAATATGCGCGTCGGCATCCACACCGGACGTGTGCATTGCGGTGTACTTGGTTTGGTCAAGTGGCAATTTGATGTGTGGTCGAATGATGTGACACTGGCCAACCACATGGAAAGCGGCGGCATACCGGGGTAAGTGTTTAACGTCAGAAATTTGCACAAAATATACAATGTACACACATATATGTATGTATTCTTACAAAAACCTACTTACACGTGTATGCAATTGCAGTTCATTGGCACTTTGATTAGTAAGTGCAAAATAAATCTAATAAAATATAGACCGCTAAATTTTGCCATACATCACTTAGCTTATAAAAAATAGTTTGCAATTCACATAAAATTACCGTACTTATGTGTTAGAGAGAAATTTGCGAAAAGCGTTGATCACGTACGCTCAACAGTCCATCCTGCTTGACTGACAGCGAACACAATAACCAAAGTGAAGTGGCGCGAACACCTTGCTTCTTAGTTCGGTGCAAAGTGGAGCACACTTTTCCGTGGAGTGACGTATTGGCGCAGACGAGCTGGCAGGTGCATGCGTTGCAATTCCGTAGCTTTATGCTCATTTCATACTAATTTATCAGCTATTTCTTCCACTCACTCACATGGATGGAGAAGAAATATTCAACACGTATTTACACATGTTTTGACTTATGCTACTTATAAGCTGGATGAGGACGTTGAGTGATTTACAAGGTGCTTTCCAGACTTTTTGAAACAAATCTATATGTCGACTGGTGCGTTAGAATCTGCTGTTTTTATAGTTTGTCCAGTGAGAATAGCATGACATTTCATACTAGGAGGGAAGTTATTGCGTTTTAAGTGTCAGTATGTTTGTGCTATCGGTGCGAAAATGACCTTCGAACAAAGGGCCAACATTAAATTTGGTTTTAAAATCGGTAAACCTTTTGCCGAAACGTGTCAATTGATGAGACAGCCTATCCTGTAGCAGAGTGCATAAGTGGTTTCGATGTTTTCGATCGAAATTTCATCGGAACTGTGCGTGAATTCATCAAAAATCAGCCGAAAGCATCATTGAAATTCATGGAAATCTAATTGAACATCTCCAAAACATCGATTTATCGCATTTCGACTGAACATTTGGGCTTACGAAAGGTTGAATGAAGACCAAAATTGCTCAGAATCCAAAAATTTGGAAAGCGCCTTGTAGCAAGTGTTGTGCTCATATTTACATTTTTTGCGCTCGTTCACAAGGTAGGTTGGGTAGGTAGTGGCAAACCGTTATCTAGTGATTTGGTTTGATAAGTGTTAAATTGTTATTTAATTTCATAGCGCAATATAATAACTTGTAGCTATGTTTTGTGTTATATAATTTGACAGTTAAAGCTGTAATGGATTGCAGGACCTAGCGATATTCCTGACATCTGTAAAGCAGATGAACTAGTCAGACCCGTATTCACCCCACAATTACATAGATTCTGAAAAAGAGGGAATATATAAGCCTCTGGCCCCCACCGATATTTAATCGACAAACTTATTATACCATACAAATAGCAGATTCTCTGTGAAGCCAATCGATAACTAGCTCAACAATAGAATGTGAATAGAAAGGAGTGACATAAGAATTCTTTTAGAGGTGGTAATAGGTCACTGACCATTGCAGAAGCTATTAGGAGATAGAAGAAGAGAAGACCATTCATCTTTTATGCTGATGGAAGGCTTTGAATAGGAAAAGAATCGTTACAGTCGATCGTGGGGTTCTTGAGGATATTTCTCAGTTTCATAGATAAAAAATTGTTGTACTGCTGAACTTCATCAGAAGCATGAGGTGATTTAGAGAGCAGCCAATATAGTGAGGTTATTTTAGTTGCGATGGTTTTACAATGGAACTCTTAAAGAACTAGGTGCATAATCAGACAACAAAGGAATCAAAATAATTTACCCAAAACTTTTGATATTTTCGTAACAGATGTAATGTATATTTAGACTAAATTTAAGTTTTGCACCCAGATCGATTTTCTTGCCTCTCTCCAATCAAGTTTTACATACATATGTACTGACTACATAAATTAATAACGCTGATTCGTTATATTTTCTTGCATGTTTTCCGAAATCTCATGCAATGGATCAGCAACAACTCGTGCAGTTCTTAAATCACCAATTTCCCACTGAATCCACAAAACAAAATGTGGCACACGTGATTTCACACGCGCTGCAATATCACCAAAGATGTGCGGTTGCATGATATGCACCGATTTTTTAACGCACGTTATGAGCATAAAAAGCTTGCTCGCCCATAATAATTTTTTATTGGCGCAGCTTGCTTTGTAGCACCCGTGATATGGTGGTAAATGTGTGAAATTGTAAAATAAAATGGTTGTCATGCAACAGTCGAGTGACTGTTTAACGATGCGGATGCTGTCACGTGGTCGATAAACAAAAAAGACGCTCGCTTGACGCATAAAAACCGATTAAATTTCTTTCTTATTTCATTGAAAAAATAAAGCCGTTTCAATTTCACTTTTTGCTCGCTGAGAAAATCGCTCGCAGCTCATTGGTCAGCGCGCGCTGGTGGCGGTGATTGCGCGCTACGTAAATGCGATTTTTTAATCGTGAATTAAGCGGCATAACGCCAGCGTGATGCGCGTGCTTTTTTGCGCAGATGGAAAGTGCACACACACGCATATCTTTTGTTGTCGGATAAATAGATTTGGCCGTATTATTCACTCGCTGGGCTTTATTTGATTAACGTATTGGATTAATTGCGCTTTTGTTTGACGAAACCGCTTTAAAGTTGCAATGAAGTTGGCTTTAATTTTCATTTCCAATGAATTGCAAAACAAATGCATTTTAAATTCCATCAAGACCTACATTCTCTACACATATGTTTTTGCATTTACTCATGTGTATACAAGTATATGTATATATGTATGTATGTAAGTGTTCACATGGCATGGTCCTCTTACTGTCGCACTTCAAATATTTGCCATAATGGAATGTGCGTGTGTGTATGTGTGTGAATTGCAGCTAATTTACTATAAAATACTCGGCTTCATGTTATATTAAGCGTGAAACTGAAATAAGGCCAACATAGCGGCCAAATGGATTGTGTGGTACGTGCCGAGGAGAGATGAGTAACTGCGTGTGTGTGCGTGCACGTAACGGGGTTATGCGTGTATGTGAGTTCAGTCACGTGTATAAGTGTGGCTTTGTTGTTTTACAATGTGCTACCGAGCAACTCAACCGCAACAGGCGTGCACAACGGTAACGATAACAAGATAAAATAGACAGACACAACGCCGTACATAACCCATGCATATATATATATATATATATATATATGTATATATACAAACACACTTGTTCACAAATACCGAAATTAGTACTTGTTAACGCTGCAATAACAACACAAGGCAGCAAATACACAAAAAATGGCATTGCCATCACTTGGCAACAACAACAAATATTTAATCCTGATTATCATTGGTTATTTTAGGCTGAGCGAACATACAAGCGTGCACGTTGCGTTTTAATCTTTTTCCACTTTGTTAAGTCTTCGGCTTACCGTTTCATTCCTCAAGTAACAAAATCATGTCCAAATTGAAAGGTACCGTTCGTCTCGTTTCAGGAAATAATAAAAACTGAAGACCACTAAATTGAAGCCAGCGAAGTGACCTTTTCATTACTTCAAAGAGAAACGTGAATTCTTTTGTGGCATTTGACCGAAGAGAGACAGCCGTGACTGGTATTAGGTATTAAGAGAGATGTGCAAAGGAAAAGTTTTTGACACGCACTTTTCAACAATTTATTTCATTCATATTTTGAACTTTCAGTAATGTTTAAGCATTATCATAGTCCAAATGCGTTTTGGCGTCTTCAAACGTGAAATGATTTTATAATATTTGATAATATAAAGTAGCAAAAGTTGAAAATCGCTTTTGAAGATTTGCATTTATGAGAATTTAGGAAAAGTGTACAGATAAAACTATCTATTGGTGGTAGTTGCTATTTTCATGTCTTGTTATTGAACAGGAAACTAAATGCTTGTAAAATAGGTAAATAAATTATCGTATATTAGTTTTGTATTTGGCTAAGATGCTCTTTAAGTGAGTATTCAAGTCCATTAAAAAAAATCTTTATTTATTTACAATAAAATTAAAATTGTTTTTGGAAATATATCGTCACCTAAAATGCAAAACAGCGTATTATTGAAAACAAATCGAAAATCACTGTAAGATATGGTAACCAATATATAACCATTTTATAACCAAAACTCAAAGTTTATTTCAATATGAGTGGTTTCTATTATACCGTTTTTTCGTCGCCTGTAAACTTATGAAAAGTGATGTTACGTTATTTTGCACTTTAGGTGGTGATATGCGGTTTGCTGGCTCGGCATTCACATTGGTTCGGCCGGAACTAAAATTTTAAACGCATTTTTCGAAACTGTCGTTTTCAAAACGATTTCTTAGCTTCCAATGGATTAATTTCCCTGAAATTTTTAAAAAGTCTTCTTTATGGACTTGTCTATGTCTGAAATGATCCGAATTTTTTTATTAAAAAAAAAAAAAAAACCAAGTAAGGAAGGGCTAAGTTCGGGTGTCACCGAACATTTTATACTCTCGCATCAAATACCGTATTTGTGTAAAGTTTTATTCCGCTATCATCATTGGTTCCTGGAATTCAAAATAGCGTTATATTGGAAGAAGGCGTGGTTGTGAACCGATTTCACCCATATTTGGYACATGTCATCAGGGTGTTAAGAAAMTATTATRTACCGAATTTCATTGAAATCGGTTTAGTAGTTCCTGATATATGGTTTTTGGTCTATAAGTGGGCGACGCACACCCATTTTCAATTTTTAAAGAAGCCTGGGTGAAGCTTCCTTCTGATATTTCTTCCGTAAAATTTAGTGTTTCTGACGTTTTTTGTTAGTCGGTTAACGCACTTTTAGTGATTTTCAACATAACCTTTATTATCCGATTTTTCCATTTTTTTCCATTTTTGAACTGTATATGGAAATGCCTGAAGGAAACGACTCTATAGAGTTTGGTTGACATAGCTATAGTAGTTTTCGAGATATGTACAAAAAACTTAGTAGGAGGCCACGCCCACTTTCCGAAACAAATTACGTCCTCGCTAATGCGATCCTTTATGCTAAATTTCAC